TGTAGCTGTGCTGTGAGGAAAACAACAACTTGTTAGGGAAATAATAAGTGTTGGAATGAGGGCAGATTCAGAGTGCTTTTACAAGAATTCCATTGAAATATTTTTCTATTAGAAAAAAAAGATCAACTCAAGTTAGCCTTGGGTGGTACAAGCTGTACATTTCCTTTGGATACATAGTTACATTTGACATTTTAGTCATTTAGCAGACGCTCTTATCCAGAGCAACTTACAGTTAGTGAGGAATCGAACCCACAACCCTGGCGTTGCAAACGCCATGCTCTACCAACTGAGCTACACAGGACTAGTTAAAGGCCTATGCAGTGGTAGGGCTGTTGCAGTGTTGGTTTGCTTGAACACCTGCCTGAGGTTGATATGCTGGGGTTGAAAAGTTATACATTTGTAATTATCCAAGAACTTAAAGTTAACACTTCCATTTACGTTTCATTTTCAAACCACCATATTGCCATGCTCTAAGAATTCAATGTAATACTTTTTTAAAATGGAAATACATATTTTTTTCTGACATTAATTTAAAACGTCTCATCTCTGCATGCTCAACTGTCTGATTGCCCCATGAAAGAATGACTTCATAGAAATAGAATCCCCCTTTTGAAAAGGAACACTCGTTCTTCCATCTATGAGTCAAAGAAACGGAATGAATGACTCAAATGCAAAAATCTGCAGTTTCATCAAACGCAGTCAGGCCTGCCCTTAAGCCAGAGCCTCGTGCCATCCCTGAGACTCATCCAAGGACTTAAGGTCCTTCAGACAAAAAGGCTTAACCTGTTTATTCCCAAGGGAAACAGAGAAAAATGCTTAGTAAATCAAATGACCTGAAAGGAACGATTAATTCAAAATATAAGCACGCCAAATGAAGAAACGTCACCCGTCTGTCTATCAAACTAATTAGCCCAAAAATGTTTGCTAGTTGTTGTCAGTTGATGCAAGACAAGAGGTGACCTTTGCTCCTCAGCTGTGCAGAGCAGTACACGTTTGGAGAGTGGTGGGGGCAATACATGACCACCATGGACTGTGGCCCTACATTAGCAGAGAGCCAGTGAATGTGTTCACACTGGCGTGATGCAATGAAAAGGCCTTTGTGAGTTTTTCAGAGAGATGAACCAGGCAGAGTTCACTGCCATGCATGCAAATCTCCAGCATCTAAAGTGCCCATAGAGAGACATGCTTTTACCTTCCCTCCACTGAGACTGGACCAATGGAGCGCTAGGTGAAATTTCATTTTAATTTGAACATAGCCCATTGATTGGCACAATGCCCACACCTCACAATATGCTTTCTACCCCTACCTCTTTCTTAAATAGGCAATATTGCTATTGTGGGACCATGTAGAGAGGATGTGAGTTTCTGAAGCGTGCAATCAAGGTTACTGCTGACTATTACTTATTAGACCCCTAAGGCTGCGTTTACAGACAGCCCAATTCCAATATGTTTCACTCGTTGGTCTTTTGCCCCTAATTGGGCAAACATTTTGAATTGGGCTACCTGTGTAAATGTAGCCTATGAAACCCAGTGTTTTCAAAGAAAGGTGAATGAATGAAGTGCTTAAAATATTTATTGCGTTCTCTGATTGATTGTGGAGAATACATACATTTTGTCATAACTAGAAGACACCTCTCATAAAATAATCATTTTCAATCTATTTTTGATATTAGGATTAGACAAGTGTGAATGTGAAGTTAAGATTGATGCAATTGAACTGTGGAGGAGAGGAAAAACAATGCCAAAATAATTTTGTTCTTTCACCATCATAATTGGCCATACAGTACTTCAAAAAACCTGCATGCAGAGTTAGTGTTGTACTGCCCTCCAGTGGAAAGTATAAAAAATGCATGTTTCCAGTTGCACTCGGCACTAGGTTATATTACATCTGTATTTCATACAATCATCAGGTAAAAACATGAAAATAGCAGTGGTGGAAAAAGTAACCAATTGTCATACTTGAGTAAAAGTAAAGACACCTTAACAGAAAATGACTCAAGTAAAAGTCACCAAGAAAAAGTTGAGTAAAAGTTTAAAAGTATTTGATTTTCAATATACTTAGGTATCAAAAGTAAAAGTAATTTAAAAAATATACTTAAGTATCAAAAGTATAAATAATTTCAAATTCCTTATATTAGCCAAACCAGACGGCACAATTTTCTTTTTTAAATTTGCGGATAGTCAGGGGCACACTCCAACACTCAGACATAAGTTACAAATGAAGCATTTGTGTTTGTGAGCCCGCCAAATCAGAGGCAGTAGGGATGAGCAGGGATGTTCTCTTGATAAGTGCGTGAATTTGACAATTTTCTTGTCCTGTTAAGCATTCAAAATATAATATAATATAGTACTTTTGGGTGTCAGGGAAAATGTATGGAGTAAAAAGTACATTCTCTTCTTTAGGAATGTAGTGAAGTAAAAGTAGTCAAACATAAAATAGTAAAGTACAGATACAGTGAGGGAAAAAAGTATTTGATCCCCTGCTGATTTTGTACGTTTTCCCACTGACAAAGAAATTATCAGTCTATAATTTTAATGGTAGGTTTATTTGAACAGTGAGAGACAGAACAACAACAAAAAAACATGTCAAAAATGTTATAAATTGATTTGCATTTTAATGAGGGAAATAAGTATTTTACCCCTCTGCAAAACATGACTTAGTACTTGGTGGCAAAACCCTTGTTGGCAATCACAGAGGTCAGACGTTTCTTGTAGTTGGCCACCAGGTTTGCACACATCTCAGGAGGGATTTTGTCCCACTCCTCTTTGCAGATCTTCTCCAAGTCATTAAGGTTTCGAGGCTGACGTTTGGCAACTCCAACTTTCAGCTCCCTCCACAGATTTTCTATGGGATTAAGGTCTGGAGACTGGCTAGGACACTCCATGACCTTAATGTGCTTCTTCTTGAGCCACTCCTTTGTTGCCTTGGCCGTGTGTTTCGGGTCATCGTCATGCTGGAATACCCATCCACGACCCATTTTCAATGCCCTGGCTGAGGGAAGGAGGTTCTCACCCAAGATTTGACAGTACATGGCCCCGTCCATTGTCCCTTTGATGCAGTGAAGTTGTCCTGTCCCCTTAACAGAAAAACACCCCCAAAGCATAATGTTTCCACCTCCATGTTTGACGGTGGGGATGATGTTCTTGGGGTCATAGGCAGCATTCCTCCTCCTCCAAACACGGCGAGTTGAGTTGATGCCAAAGACCTCGATTTTGGTCGCATCTGACCACAACACTTTCACCCAGTTCTCCTCTGAATCATTCAGATGTTCATTGGCAAATTTCAGACAGGCATGTATATGTGCTTTCTTGAGCAGGGGGACCTTGCGGGCACTGCAGGATTTCAATCCTTCACAGCGTAGTGTGTTACCAATTGTTTTGTTGGTGACTATGGTCCCAGCTGCCTTGAGATCATTGACAATATCCTCCCATGAAGTTCTGGGCTGATTCCTCACCGTTCTCATGATCATTGCAACTCCACGAGGTGAGATCTTGCATGGAGCCCCAGGCCGAGGGAGATTGACAGTTATTTTGTGTTTCTTCCATTTGCGAATAATCACACCTACTGTTGTCACCTTCTCACCAAGCTGCTTGGCGATGGTCTTGTAGCCCATTCCAGCCTTGTGTAGGTCTACAATCTTGTCCCTGACATCCTTGGAGAGCTCTTTGGTCTTGGCCATGGTGGAGAGTTTGGAATCTGATTGATTGATTGCTTCTGTGGACAGGTGTCTTTTATACAGGTAACAAACTGAGATTAGGAGCACTCCCTTTAAGAGTGTGCTCCTAATCTCAGCTCATTACCTGTATAAAAGACACCTGGGAGCCAGAAATCTTTCTGATTGAGAGGGGGTCAAATACTTATTTCCCTCATTAAAATGCAAATCAATTTATAACATGCGTTTTTCTGGATTTTGTTGTTGTTATTCTGTCTCTCACTGTTCAAATAAACCTACCAATAAAATTATAGACTGATCATTTCTTTGTCAGTGGGCAAATGTACAAAATCAGCAGGGGATCAAATACTTTTTCCCCTCACTGTACCCCAAAAAACTACTTAAGTAGTACTTTAAAGTATTTTTACTTAAGTACTTTACACCACTGGAAAATAGTAATGTGAGATAAAAGGTTATGACATTTAACACAATGGGATTGGGGAGAAAATAGGTGTGGGCAACTGCCAGGACCCTGCATACACGTAATATGTTATTCTGATCAAAGGAGTGCACCCTATTGGAATAAAAGAGAAGTCCACCCAGCATAGATTATTATTTTTTATTTTTTTTTAACACCTCAGAGTAAACAGTGGATAACGTGATTAGTGTTAAAGGGACCAGTTTATTAAGACATACTAAAGCATTTAAGAGTGACAGATTTGACAGACTAAATAGCTGTGCCTGTGAATTAGTGAGTAATCACTTGTAACAAGATGAACTAAAAACATTTAACTGATGTGCAGTATGATGGAGGAAGACATTTAAATTAAGCTGTAAATAACCCACTTTGGCTGTTTGCATTAAAGTTGTGCTCTTTGCAAGGATGCTGTGTCTAGTTATTAAATCATGCAATTTGACATAAAATAGCTTACCAAGCAGCCATTGGGTTTAAGTTCAATATCTCAACACTGAAGTGAGAGAAGAAATTTAACAGTAAGAGATCCAGACAAGGCTAATACAACAGTATCTTGAAGAGCATTAGCCATAGCACAAAATGTTATAAGCAAACTTCTGATACTAAGTTGGACTAACACAAAATAACCACGTTGATGCTTAAACCAAACAAATCAGGCTTGGACATTTTGGGCAAAGCTCATAGGAGATTTATTGAAAAAGATACACACATGGAAATGTGACATTTCAGTCATTAAATGACATCTTCCAATCTACTACCAGCAAATAGAAAATAATGGCACATTTCTTTCTCAATAGATCTGATTTATGAGTTTCCTGATGGTACTTGGTAATACAGAGTTCATTGTACTGAGAGGAAAATATACAATTATTCAAAGGAAATACATTTCCAAGCTGCAAGCCAAAAGCTGACATCTTAACTGGTATTTCATTTGCTTTCTGCCACATAAAAAAAAAACATGTCCTTTCATAGAAAATGTAATCTCATAATATTAAGGCAGTAGTTTGATATTGCCAACGCTAAATTATGACAGCTTTGGTCACTAGAACTTTGTCCAACATTAGTTTATCGTTTTTATGACATAAGATAAAAGCAACTTGGAAAAGCTGAATTCACTTTTTCGGCTTGACACATTTCTCCTTCTCAAACTGGGCTATCTGGCTGAAGAGATCTAGGAGATTAGTTGGCAGCTCTTTTTTCTGATTTCCTTCTGCGGATGATCCATTACCATTCCGAGTGGTGTCAGTGGAAGACCTGTAATCTCCATCAGACCTTCGGGTGCCCCTATTCAGCCCTTTCTTATCACCTCGCTCGGTGCTACCATACTTCCCACTATCTGATCGCCTGGAAGTGGATATGTGGGACTGTGATGGGAGGTCGTTGGCGTACTGGTCAGATTTGCGGGAATGCTCTGAGCCGGCAGATGAGGAGGACATTCTTCTGTGTTTGACTTTCCCCAATGAGCTGGGAACGTCTTGTGGGCCACTTTGAAGCTCCTGGCCCTGGCTCTTCCTCTGGCCCCTGGAGCCTTCCCTCTCCCTCTCATTCACATCTCCATCACTGGTCTTCTCACCACAGACACCTTTTCCCTTGCTGCCCTCAGCTCGCTGAGGAGAGGCGTCAAAAGGGTCATCTTCAAACCTGCTGTTGTCCGGAGCGTCAGTGGACACTGATGATAAAGAGTGGTACGAGTGGTTCCTGCCCTTGCTGCGGGGCTGACTGTACTCTTCAGTCCTCTCTGGCCCCTCAAACGGCCTGACGACGCTAGATTTCTGATCCAGGAAGGAGGTGGAGGTGTTGGGCGGGGCAGGGTACCACTCCTCCTCTTCATCAGCCACACTCCTGTTGTCCCTGGATGAAACCCTCTGCTGGTGTTTCTTCCCTCGAGATGACCGTCTGTGTTTACGATTCTTTTTCTTTGACTTCCTGCGACCCGAGGAGGATCGGTCGGAAGAAGAGGAGGAAGATGACGTTGATGAGGAGGATCTCTTCCGTTTCTTTTTCATTCTAGAGGGAGTTATAGCAGACTGAAACTATGTAGCTACATATGAAATAGGTGATCAACTTAAATGATGAATTATAATATTTCGGCAAATTAAATTACGTGTATGTATTTTGTTTTATAAGACAACTGATGGAGTTGACAGTTTACCAGGTTACCTTTCTGACAGATTGGTATGGGATGTACCTTTTTTCTTCTTTTAAGATCTTACGCAATTTTTCTGCACTTGTCTCCACGTTCTTAGCTTTTTCCACTTCCTTTGCAGCTGCCTCTTCTCTCAGTTTGAGGGATTTCTTTAAAGCAGTCCATTTTCACAGTAAAATTTTACCCGTTTTCAAGAGATTAGAAAAGTATAAGGGAGGAAACCAGGAATGTGAAAAGCATTCCATCAATTAATTTGAATGGATAAGGACAATGGGAAAATGGCATATACACAGACATGTTAACCATAGCATGATCCAGAATTCACAATTACAAGCAGAGAACAAAATGTAAATTTTTCCAGGTGGACAAAAAGGGTTTACATTTACCGCATTGAGACCAGGTCCAGCGTAGCAACCATTTTCATTCCAGTTGTAAGGTTGTTTGTTCCCCCAATAGACAAGCGACAATCAAGGCAGTTGGGTAGAGTCAAAGGGCAGGATCCCAGATCAGAGAAGCACACAAAACACTTAAATCAGTATTACAAGGTCCCTGTGTGTTACTCCAAACACACAAACGACACAGAACTGAAATTTTCACTGGCCCTTTTCCCCAAAATGTTCATAGTTCACAATGTTCAATGATCAGTCATATGAGGAATAGTTGGCATTCCCATGGAATGTTCCAGCTCACCTGGATAAGCAGCTCTATTTTTTGCAATGCTTCCTTGGCATCCTGGAAGGAGTTGTCTAAGGTCAGGGCTTTTCTGTAAAGGCCTTCAGCTGTGACTAGCTTTTCTTCCTCCTCCAGTCTAACAGAATTAAAAAAGTTTTTTTCAGAGGAAGGGTTGTCTCTTAGAAATCACTTCAGCGCACACAGGATAATGCAGGAAGTAGGGAAACATTCCTACTTACTGGCCACCTCGCTCAACCAGGGTTTGGCATAGGTATTTCTTTGCATTTCTGTGGGTTGGGCAGCTTTCCAATGCCAGCTCAAAGTCAGTTATTGCCTTCAGCAAACTCCCTTTGTTAGCATACCTGGGAAATATCAAATGGCAAGTTTATATTAGCTGTAGGACCACAACTACATTTTATGCGACAATTCAACAACATCCCGTTTCAAAAACCTGTGGTCAACAGAAATACCTAGCAGAGTGGCTGGGAGTGCTGACTATTAAACTGTTAATAATCGACCACATTATCAATAAAATAAGATGGCTACTCACAGTGCACCACGTGCCACAAGTGCTTCCACATTATTAGTGTCGATCTCTAAGGCCTTGTTATATTCATTCATTGCTTCGACATGGCGGCCAGATTTGAAGTGGTCCACACCAACCCTTACACTGTAGCGCAGACATTTTGACAAAACAAAGAAAGATCAGGAGCAGTTCATTAATTCTGTAAACATTAGGCTAGCACAGATTTAGTGACATGCTGCTGCATTTTCTCCAAATGTCAACATCAAATCTTATTTGTCACATGCGCCGAATACAACAGGTGTAGACCTCACAGTGAAATGCTTACTTACAAGCCCTTAACCAACAACGCAGTTTAAGAAAGAATACCTACAACAACAACAAAAAAAGCAGAAGTAACAAATAACTCAAGAGCAGCAGTAAAATAACAATAGCAAGGCTATATACAGGGGGTACCGATACCGAGTCAATGTGCGGGGGCACCGGTTAGTCGAGGTAATTGAGGTAATATGTACACTACCGTTCAAAAAATGTCCTTGTTTTCGAAAGATAAGCAATTTCTTTGTCCATTAAAATAACATCAAATTGATCAGAAATACAGGGTAGACATTGTTAATGTTGTAAATGGCTATTGTGGGTTCGATTACAGGCTCAAAATGGCCAGAAACAAATAACTTTCTTCTGAAGGCTATTCCATGCGTGAAATTGCCAAGAAACTGAAGATCTCGTACAACGCTGTGTACTACTCCCTTCACAGAACAGCGCAAACTGCCTCTAACCAGAATAGAAAGAGGAGTGGGAGGCCCCGGTGCACAACTGAGCAAGAGGACAAATACATTAGTGTCTCTAGCTTGAGAAACAGACACCTCACAGGTCCTCAAATTGGCAGCTTCATTAAATAGTACCCCCAAAACACCAGTCTCAACGTCAACAGTGAAGAGGTGACTCTGGGATGCTGACCTTCTAGGCAGAGTTGCAAAGAAAAAGCCATATCTCAGACTGGCCAATAAAAATAAAAGATTAAGATGGGCAAAAGAACACAGACACTGGACAGAGGAAGATTGGGAGAAACAACGTGTTATGGACAGACAAATCGAAGTTTGAGGTGTTCGGATCACAAAGAAGAACATTTGTGAGACGCAGACCAAATGAAAAGATGCTGGAGGAGTGCTTGATGCCATCTGTCAAGCGTGGTGGAGGCAATGTGATGGTCTGGGGGTTCTTTGGTGGTGGTAAAGTGGGAGATTTGTACAGGGTAAAAGGGATCTTGAAGAAGGAAGGCTATCACTCCATTTTGCAACGCCATGCCATACCCTGTGGACGGCTCTTGATTGGAGTCAATTTCCTCCTACAACAGGACAATGACCCAAAGCACAGCTCCAAACTGGGCAAGAACTATTTAGGGAAGAAGCAGTCAGCTGGTATTTGGTCTATAATGGAGTGGCCAGCACAGTCACCGGATCTCAACCCTATTGAGCTGTTGTGGGAGCAGCTTGACCGTATGGTACGTAAGAAGTGCCCATCAAGCCAACCCAACTTGTGGGAGGTGCTTCAGGAAGCATGGGGTGAAATCTCTTCAGATGACCTCAACAAATTGACAACTAGAATGCCAAAGGTCTGCAAGGCTGTAATTGCTGCAAATGGAGGATTCTTTGACGAAAGCAAAGTTTGAAGGACACAAAAATAATTATTTCTAACCTTGTCAATGACTACATTTCCTATTCAAACTCATTTCATGCATGTTTTCATGGAAAACAAGGACATTTCTAAGTGACCCCAAACTTTTGAACGTTAGTGTACATGTAGGTAGAGTTATTAAAGTGACTATGCATAGATAATTAACAGAGAGTAGCAGCAGCGTAAAAGAGAAGGGGGGGGGGGGGGGGGGGCAATGCAAATAGTCTGGGTAGCTATTTATTAGATGTTCAGGAGTCTTATGGCTTGGGGGTAGAAGCGGTTTAGAAGCCTTTTGGACCTATACTTGGCGCTCCAGTACCGCTTGCCGTGGGGCAGCAGAGAGAACAGTCTATGACTAGGGTGGATGGAGTCTGACCATTTTTAGGGCCTTCTGACACTGCCTGGTATAGAGGTCCTGGATGGCAGGAAGCTTGGCCCCAGTGATGTACTGGGCCGTACGCACTACCCTCTGTAGTGCCTTGCGGTCGGAGGATGAGCAGTTGCCATACCAGGCAGTGATGCAACCAGTCAGGATGCTCTCGATGGTGCAGCTGTAGAACCTTTTGAGGATCTGAGGACCCATGCCAAATCTTTTCAGTCTCCTAAGGGGGAATAGGTTTTGTCGTGCCCTCTTAACTGTCTTGGTGTGTTTGGACCATGTTAGTTTGTTGGTGATGTGGACACCAAGAAACTTGACGCGCTCAACCTGCTGCACTACAGCCCTGTCGATGAGAATTGGGGCGTGCTCAGTACTCTTTTTTTTCCTGTAGTCCACAATCATCTCCTTTGTCTTGATCACATTGAGGGAGAGGTTGTTGTCCTGGCACCACACGGCCAGGTCTCTGACCTCCTCCCTATAGGCTGTCTCGTCGTTGTCGGTGATCAGGCCAACCACTGTTGTGTCGTCGGCAAACTTAATGATGGTGTTGGAGTCGTACCTGGCCATGCAGTCATGAGTGAACAGGAAGTACAGGAGGGGACTGAGCACGCACCCGAGGGGCCCCAGTGTTGAGGATCAGCATGGCGGATGTGTTGTTACCTACCCTTACCACCTGGAGCCGGCCCGTCAGGAAGTCCAGGATCCAGTTGCAGAGTGAGGTGTTTAGTCCCAGGGTCCTTAGCTTAGTGATTAGTCTTATCCAGGTGTGAAAGGGCAGTGTGGAGCGCAATAGAGATTGCGTAATATGTGGATATGTTGGGGCGGTATGCAAATTGTGGTGGGTCTAGGGTTTCTGGGATAATGGTGTTGATGTGAGCCATGACCAGCCTTTCAAAGGACTTCATAACTACAGAGGTGACTGCTACGGGTCGGTAATCATTTAGGCAGGTTACCTTAGTGTTCTTGGGCCCAGGGACTATGGTGGTCTGCTTGAAACATGTTGGTATTACAGACTCAGACAGGGAGAGGTTGGAAATGTCAGTGAAGACACTTGCCAGTTGGTCAGCGCATGGTCGGAGTACACGTCCTGGTAATCCGTCGAGCACTGCGGCCTTGTGAATGTTGACCTGTTTAAAAGGTCTTACTCACATCGGCTACGGAGAGCGTGATCACACAGTCGTCCGGAACAGCTGATGCTGTCATGCATGTTTCAGTGTTACTTGCCTCGAAGCGAGCATAGAAGTAATTTAGCTCATCTGGTAGGCTCGTGTCACTGGGCACTGTCGCGGCTGTGCTTCCCTTTGTAGTCTGTAATAGTTTGCAAGCCCTGCCACATCCGACGAGCGTCGGAGCCAGTGTAGTACGATTCGATCTTAGTCCTGTATTGACGCTTTGCCTGTTTGATGGTTCATCGGAGGGCATAGCAGGATTTCTTATAAGCTTCCGGGTTAGAGTTACGCTCTTTGAAAGCGGCAGCTCTGCCCTTTAGATCAGTGCGGATGTTGCCTGTAATCCATGGCTTCTGGTTGGGGTATGTACGTACAGTCACTGTGGGGATGACGTCATCGATGCACTTATTGATGAAGCCAGTGACTGATGTGGTGTACTCCTCAATGCCATCGGAAGAATCCTGGAACATATTCCAGTCTGTGCTAGCAAAACAGTCCTGTAGCTTAGCATCTGCTTCATCTGACCACTTTTTTATTGACGAGTCACTGGTGCTTCCTGCTTTAGTTTTTGCTTGTAAGCAGGAATCAGGAGGATAGAATTATTGTCAAATTTGCCAAATGGAGGGCGAGGGAGAGCTTTGTATGCGGAGTAAAGGTGGTCTAGAGTTTTTTTCCCTCTGGTTGCACATTTAACATGCTGGTAGAAATTAGGTAAAACGGATTTACAGTATCTCACAAAAGTGAGTACACCCCTCACATTTTTGTAAATATTTGAGTATATCTTTTCATGTGACAACACTGAAGAAATGACACTTTGCTACAATGTAAAGTAGTGAGTGTACAGCTTGTATAACAGTGTACATTTGCTGTCCCCTCAAAATAACTCACACAGCCATTAATGTCTAAACCGCTGGCAACAAAAGTGAGTACACCCCTAAGAGAAAATGTCAAAATTGGGCCCATTTAGCCATTTTCCGTCCCTGGTGTTATGTGACTCGTTAGTGTTACAAGGTCTCAGGTGTGAATGGGGAGCAGGTGTGTTAAATCTGGTGTCGTCGCTCTCACACTGGTCACTGGAAGTTCAACATGGCACCTCATGGCAAAAAACTCTGAGGATCTGAAAAAAGAATTGTTGCTCTACATAAAGATTGCCTGGGCTATAAGATTGCCAAGACCCTGAAACTGAGCTGCAGCATGGTGGCCAAGACCATACAGCGGTTTAACAAGACAGGTTCCACTCAGAACAGGCCTCGCCATGGTCGACCAAAGAAGATGAGTGCACGTGCTCAGCGTCATATCCAGAGATTGTCTTTGGGAAATAGATGTATGAGTGCTGTCAGCATTGCTGCAGAGGTTGAAGGGGTGGGGGGGGGGGGGGGGGGGTCAGCCTGCAGCAATGCTCAGACCATACGCCGCATCAAATTGGTCTGCATGGCTGCCGTGCCAGAAGGAAGCCTCTTCTAAAGATGATGCACAAGAAAGCCCGCAAACAGTTTTGCTGAAGACAAGCAGACTATGGACATGGATTACTGGAACCATGTCCTGTGGTCTGATGAGACCAAGATAAACTTATTTGATTCAGATGGTGTCAAGCGTGTGTGGCGGCAACCAGGTGAGGAGTACAAAGACAAGTGTGTCTTGCCTACAGTCAAGCATGGTGGTGGGAGTGTCATAGTCTGGGGCTGCATGAGTGCTTCCGACACTGGGGAGCTACAGTTCATTGAGGGAACCATGAATGCCAACATGTACTGTGACATACTGAAGCAGAGCATGATCCCCTCCCTTCGGAGACTGGGCCGCAGGGCAGTATTCCAACATGATAACGACCCCAAACACACCTCCAAGACCACCACTGCCTTGCTAAAGAAGCTGAGGGTAAAGGTGATGGACTGGCCAAGCATGTCTCCAGACCTAAACCCTATTGAGCATCTGTGGGGCATCCTCAAACGGAAGGTGGAGGAGTGCAAGGTCTCTAACATCCACCAGCTCCGTGATGTCGTCATGGAGGAGTGGAAGAGGACTCCAGTGGCAACCTGTGAAGCTCTGGTGAACTCCATGCCCAAGAGGGTTAAGGCAGTGCTGGAAAATGGTGGCGGCCACACAAAATATTGACACTTTGGGCCCAATTTGGACATTTTCACTTAGGGGTGTACTCACTTTTGTTGCCAGCGGTATAGACATTAATGGCTGTGTGTTGAGTTATTTTGAGGGGACACTGTTATACAAGCTGTACACTCACTACTTTACATTGTAGCAAAGTGTAATTTCTTCAGTGTTGTCACATGAAAAGATATACTCAAATATTTACAAAAATGTGAGGGGTGTACTCACTTTTGTGAGATACTGTAAGTTTCCCTGCATTAAAGTCCCCGGCCACTAGGAGTGCCGCCTCTGGATGAGCGTTTTCCTGTTTGCTTATGGCCGTATAGAGCTTATTGAGTGCGGTCTTAGTGCCAGCATCAGTTTGTGGTTGTAAATAGACAACTACGAAGAATATAGATGAAAACTCTTGGTAGATAGAGGATCTCATGATAAGCTGTAGACCACACTATCTCAGGCGAGCAAAACCTCGAGACTTCCTTAGATATCGCTCACCAGCTGTTACAAATATACATAGACCGCCACCCCTTGTCTTACCAGAGGCTGCTGTTCTATCCTGCCGATACAGTGTATAACCCGCCAGCTGTATGTTATTCATGTCGTCGTTCAGCCACGACTCGGTGAAACATAAGATATTACAGTTTTTAATGTCCCTTTGGTAGGATATACGTGCTTTTAGTTCGTCCACTTTATTATCAAGCGATTGTACATTGGCCAATAGTACCGATGGCAAAGGCAGATTAGCCACTCGTCGCCGGCTCATTACAAGGCACCCCGATCTCCTTCCACGATATCTTTGTCTCTTTCTACTGTGAATGACAGGGTTGAGGGCCCTGTCGGGTGTCTAGAGCCAATCCCTCTCGTCCTACTCATTAAATACAAATTATTTGTAGAGTTCAAGGTGAGTAATCGCTGTTCTGATGTCCAGAAGCTCTTTTCGGTCACAAGAGACGGTAGCAGCAACATCATGTACAAAATAAGTTACAAACAATGGGGAAAAAACTAACAAAATAGCACGGCTGACAAACAAAATAGCACGGCTGGTTAAGAACCCATAAAACGGCAGCCATCCCCTCTGGCACCAACATGCAAAAATAGTTAAAATGTCAGGAATACCATTTAAGGGCCCAGGATGCAGACTGCTTCTTTCGGATAGTTTTGGCAAAGTCCTCCTCAAGGAAATGTTTGCTGTAAAGAAGAGTCCCAACATACAGTCAAGTGCTGATAAAATGGGGCTACGGATATCCATTTCTGGCAAGCGTGTCTGCTGAAGAATGGCAAAACAACAAGTTTGTCTTCTCACCTCTGTAGCCCTCTCATGAGGGAGGGAGGCTGTGTGTCACTGACCCCAATCTTCCCCAGGAGATATTCCACGTTAGATGGGTTAGAGTAGCCAAGAGTACCCTCTAAAACCCTCTCATAGGTTTCAGTGTGGTCGTTTGCAACCCTCACACTGCGACTGGGTAAAACAATGAAAACAACACAATGAGCAAAGATTTAGCCTAAGTTCTAGCATACCTATTTTTCTGCCAACTAGAATACATCGGTCTTACCTGTATTGAAGTGGCAGATCATCTCTACTAAAAACTCCAAGCTTTAGGTTCATCAGATTTGGGGCGAGGGAGGAGGGCTGAAGTGAAATGGTTATCTTCTCATGGTATCGGTCAATGTCCTTCACTCCAGCTAAGAGCACAGCCCATGGTATATGGGTCAGTTCGTTGACTTATGTTCATAATGCAGTTTTGTGATAAGTTATTTAAATGAACACAAAATTATTTAGTGTGCAATGTGCATTCACCTCTTATCAAATCGTTAATCTGATAGTATGATAGTGGATCATCATGATTGCCATTGGAAGGTACATCTCTAAGGGGACACAGGGCCTGAGGAGAGAAAGAAAGCAGAGAAAGAGGTTACCACTTACTCCCATTTCTTCAATAGAGAACACTGACCACCAGGCCGAAGCCACAACCTCTACCGTGAGCTCCAGATCCTCTATGTCTCGCTCTAGTCCACCTCCCATGCAGATCAGTGTTACAAAGAAGCCAAATTCCCTGATGGAGTTGATCCTGCCTATCACGATGTCCCCTCGCTCAATGTCCCTGTACAACAGATTCCTCCGTTCCTCAAACGACACCTCCATAAACTGCTCCAGAGGGGGCATGATGGCGTAGGGCTCTAGGAAAAGGAATACAGTCATTAGTCCACACTCAAGACAATATGTTGGTTTACCTCTAAATTTCACAGTAACCGTTACCTTCTCCTTCCTCCTCTAACACATCATCCATAGGTGCACTAGACTTCCATGACGGTGCAAATAGGATGTCAGCTTTTCTAGCAACAAATTGCTCCACTACCGCATTGTCCTCCCCTCCATATTTCCTGTAGATTATAGTTTTAACATTATCAGTGCACCTGTCTGGAAATTTGCAGTTGACAGTGTTGGTGTAGGTGTTCCAGTAGCCTACATTTGGATTCAATACTGTATGTATTGTCCATTTAAATTACCTTTGGTAGCTGGCCTTGGACAAGTCAGGTTCAATAGCTTTGAAATCTGGATTTTCACTTTGTTCACATTTGAGATGGGTAAACAGGCTTTGTCCATGGTGAGACAAAGTCTGCCTTAGTAAATCTCTATCCATTTTCAGTTATTGGCATCAGAATTTAGCCTGGTTAGCTAGTATGCATAACATCCTGTAACAGAACAACAATATGTTAGCATAATATCTAACTAGTAGCTAGCGAAGAAGAATCACAAATACAATTAAATTCAACGCAGCCAACCAGCCCAACGCCACGAGAGCAACATAGCTAGCCAGCTGTAAATATATGGCTCTGGCGCTAATTAGCTAGCTAACGTTAGTTGCTGCTGCCCTGTACCGCGGACAAAAAACAGCTTACCGTGCCGTTGCAGATTTGTACAAAACATTTACACGAATTATTCACATAGCTAGTAGCTAGCTGTCCGTTAGCTATCTGACAGAAGCGTCTGTGGAAGCATTTTATGTCTCGAGCGTCCGGAACTTCAATTTTGTGTGTTACAGTTTATTTGTCCCAAGAGAAACAAAACCCTACTAGGAACCTTTTTTAATTCATAGGGGTGCCATATACATATTTTGTAAACACCATTTTGTTGATAGTTCTGGATTTATCCTGTCCTTCCAGTCAAACAAAACATTCAGTAGACAGTTGCATCGTCTTGATGAGAGCCTCTTTTATCCATAGAAAAATGTTCTATAAATAGTTTTGGTTGGGGTTTCCTGTATGTAACACAACAGGTAACGAAGAAAATCTACACTGGTTAGCCTATCTACACTGTATGGGTGAATAGAGCCCCAAGTAACGAAGAAAATCTACACTGGTTAGCCTATCTATACTGTATGAGTGAATAGAGCCCCACAGTGGAGGTGTCAGAAAACCCATAAAACCCAGCAGTAAAACAAGGAAATGGTTCCAATCGTTTCTCCACCATTCATTTTTCCCATAGGGGATTTTAGAAACACTTAAAAAAGGGCTGTGTTTCATGTATGCTTACCCTGGCGTGGCGTTTTATTAACCATGTAAATCTCTCTCGAACAAGGTAACTCATATCAATACTGAAACATCATCGGTGACCATTGCAACATAATTGGTAACCATGGCAGCATCATCAGTAACCATTGCAAAGTCATCATCATTCACGGCAACATCATCACCAGCTACGGAAACACCATCGGTAACCATGGCAACATCACCTGCAACCATGACAACATCATCACCAACCGCAGAAACATCATTGCCCATCACGGCAACAACATCACCAACCACGGCAACATCATCACCAACCACGGAAATATCATCGCCCACCATGGCAACATCATCACCAACTACGGAAACAACATCGGTAACCATGGCAACATCATCCGTAACCATGACAACATCATCACCAACCGCAGAAACATCATTGCCCATCACGGCAACAACATCACCAACTACGGAAGCATCATCGGTAACTATTGTAACATTGTCAACTACCGCAGCAACATTACCAACCATGGCAACATCATCACCCACCACAGCAACATCATCACCAACTATAGAAACATAATCAGTAACCATGACAAAGTCATCATCATTTATGGCAACATCATCAGCAACCACAGAAACATCATACGTAACCATAGCAACACCATCGCCAATCACTTTAACTTCATCACCAACCACAGCAACATCAATCCAAACCATAGTGTCGTCATCGCCAACCCAAATCCTAACAACTCCAGCCTCAACAACCACTGCTCCAACATATCCAGTTCTAATACACACTACTCCGTATCAAGGTAGGTAATCATATTATACTGAACAAAAATATAAACGGAACATGCAACAATTTTAAAGATTTTACTGAGCTACAGTTCATATAAGGAAATCAGTCAATTGAAATAAATGCATTAGGCCTTAATCTATGGATTTTATGACTGACAATAAGATGACAAAAAAGAAGAAATGACTGGCAATACAAATATGCATCTGTTGGTCACAGATACCTTTAAAAAAAAAAAGGGTAGGGGCGTGAATCAGAAAACCAGTTAGTACCTGGTGTGACCATTTGCCTCATGTATTGCGACACATCTCCTTCACATAGTGTTGATCAGGCTAATTATTGTGGCCTGTGGAATGTTGTCCCACTCCTCTTCAACGGCTGTGCAAAGTTGCTGGATATTGGCGGGAATTGAAACACGCTGTTGTACACGTCGATCCAGAGCATCCCAAACATGGTCATTGGTTGACATGTCTGGTGGATATGCAGGCCATGGAAGAACTGGGACATTTTCAGCTTCCAGGAATTGTGTACAGATCCTTCCGTCATGGGGCTGTGCATTATCGTGCTGAAACATGAGGTGATGGCGGTGGATGAACGGCACGACAATGGGCCTCAGGATCTCGTCACAGTATCTCTGTGCATTCAAATTGCCATCAATAAAATGCAATTGTGTTTGTTGTCCGTAGCTTATGCCTGCCCATATAATAACCCCACCTCCACCATGGGGCTCTCTGTTCACAATGTTGACATCAGCAAACCGCTCGCCCACACAACACCATACACGCTGTCTGCCATCTGCCTGGTACAGTTGAAACTGATTAATCTGTGAAGAGCACACTTCTCCAACGTGCCAGTGGCCATCAAAGGTGAGCATTTGCCACTGAAGTCGGTTGCTACGCTGAACTGCAGTCAGGTCGAGACCCTGGTGAGGACGACGAGCACACAGATGAGCTTCCCTGAGGCTGTTTCTGACAGTTTGTGCAGAAATTCTTTGGTTGTTTAAACCCAGTTTCATCAGCTGTCCGAGTGGCTGGTCTCAGACGATCCCGCAGGTGAAGAAGCCGGATGTGGAGGTCCTGGGCTGGCATAGTTACACGTGGTCTGAGGTTGTGAGGTCGGTTGGACGTACTTGCCAAAATCTTATGGTAGAAAAATGAACATTTAATTCTCTGGTAACAGCTCTGGTGGACATTCCTGCAGTCATCATGCCAATTTCATGCTCCAACAGAACTTGAGACCTCTGCAGCATTGTGTTGTGTGACAAAACTGCACATTTTAGAGTGGCCTTTTATTGTCCCCGGCACAAGGTGCACCTGTGTAATGAGTAACCCTGGATTGTAAACTGTCATGGTCAAAACATATTGATACAACAGTAGCTAAGATGGGAAGAAGTCTGTCAATAATAAAGCGCTGCCCTGCCTTCTTAACATCACTATCAGCAAGGCAGGTCTTACAGGTCCTAGTTTTGATGCACCTGGACTACTGTTCAGTCATGTGGTCAGGTGCCACAAAGAGGGACTTAGGAAAATTACAATTGGCTCAGAACAGGGCAGCATGGCTGGCCCTTAAATGTACACGGGGAGCTAACATTAATGATATGCATGTCAATCTCTGAATGCACCGAGCTGTCTGTTTAAACTACTAGCACACAGCTCGGACACCCACGCATACCCCACAAGACATGCCACCAGAAGTCTCTTCACAATCCCCAAGTCCAGAACAGACAATGGGAGGCGCACAGTACAACATAGAGCCATGAGTACATGGAACTCTATTCCACATCAGGTAACTGATGCAAGCAGTAGAATCAATAAAAATACAACTTATGGAACAGCGGGGACTGTGAAGAGGTACAGACACACGCCTACGCACACAAACACTAGCACACGCACTCTACACACACGTATATTGTAATATTGTTGTATGGTGGGATTATACATTTTGTATTGTATATATGTAGTGGTGTAATAATGATATATGATGTACTGTTTTATCTTTTGTTTTATATGTAATGTTAGTGCCTTAACATGTTTGGACTATAAATGATCATGCTGTTTAATCAGCTTCTTGATATGCCACACCTGTCAGGTGGATGGATTATCTTGGCAAAGGAGAAATGCTCACTGACAGTGATGTAAATAAGTTTTAGAGAAATACGCTTTTTGTGGGTATGGAACATTTCTGGCATCTTTTATTTCAGCTCATGAAACATGGGACCACTTTACATGTTGCGTTTATATTTTTGTTCAGTGTATAACATAATTGGAGGCTTTGGGAATCAAGCCCCCAAATACCTAGCATGGTCCCTGATCTGTTTGTGCCATCATGCCACTCCTTACATGCCAAACATGACAAGAAGTGGCAAGGAGTGGCATGATGGCACCAACAGACTGGTAACAGGCTTCCAAATACCCACTACTTGTATCAAAACTTGTGTAAATGTTAGGATTTTGTTCCTCACTGTCTTACTCTCTTCCACAGGCCTCACAAATGTTGCATATGCAACATTCAATATGTCCTCCTCTGTTAAACTAGACAATGAAACAGTCATCCAACTTATTAGAGGTATGTTTTTATTGTATTAATTGCTATGAGGCTTCCTGCCCTTAATTATATAAATAAATATAGGGAAAATAGATTTGTGTCAGTTTCCTCTGATTTCAGTTCTTCCAGGCTTGAGTGATTCAGTTCAATGTCATAAAAATTAACTGCATATCAGCACTTATCTTGCAATCTCATTCAGTACGTACCCATGGCTGAGAATCTCATTAGTAATGGAGAAAATTACAATTTGCAGAACAAATAAAATACCTAGACTGGTAAACCATGCATGATTGATTACCTCATCTATCAAACATTTTCAAGCTTCGATTCCTCCCACATTGTTTTTCGTTGGACTGATAATTGGCTCAAAGCAGAACTGTCAGCATAAATGTTTCCAAACCCTAAAGATTCTTGCAGTGCTCTTGTCAGCATGTCCTTCAACCCACCAGGACTGGCCACACCTCTGGGAAGGTGGAGCTCCAAAGTACAAGTAGAGGCATGTGGTAAACGGACACTGAACATTCCCTGGTCGTAGAATCTGATACAGAGATTTCTTAGGAATCCCAAAGGAGGGATCTGATCTGCCCCTGTGATGAAGGCCAGTAGATCCCCAAAGGACAAGGCAGTCCGGTGTTCTGTTGTGAATAGATGTAAGAACAGATAACATTTTATCAAAAAGCTGAGAATATATTAAACTTACATTTTAATGTACATACTTGTATTGATATGCTCAGAAATGAGTGAAAAACGTTTATAGTCATCTAGATCTATGTATGAACCTTGACGGAAATAAATTAATCCTCGAAATATTCAGTACAATGCAACAGATGTATCTAAGTAGAAAAGACCCAGCCTACCGTTGACCATGATGAGAAATCTCTCCCAGGAGGTGACAGTGGTCTCCTCAGCTTGTCTCAGGCCTATGGTTGATTCCAGAGGACTCCATGACACCTCAAACAGACTTTTGAACTGTTCCAGGGTGAGAGGGTGTTCTGTCCTGGTCATGACAGACATGAAGGCTGCAGAGTGGGCCTTGATGATATCCCACAGGCCACCACAGCTGTTCAGCCCCTCTGTGAACTGGGAGATCATGCTTGCCACCCTGCAAAAAGAATTAATAAAGCAAGTTGTGATATCAACCAAACATATAGTTGCATCCCACATGATCGTAGGAGCAGATGAAAAGCAAGATGACCAAATGTTGAATAGGTGTTCAAAAAACATACAGATGTAGGATCTTCATTTGACCTATATTGGCACAGCAGAATGATTCTGCATCAACATTTGAACGTTTAGTCCATTATGTTGCTTGATCGGTGGTTAGGCCATCAGCTGGCAAAAAGTAGGCTACATGGAAAGTGCAATACTGTTAATATAACCGTGTGTTAGTATGGATTTTAAGTGAATGTATTCCTGCAGTGCAGGATAATTCACAGCAACAAAAGTGTGATCAAATTAAGATCCTACATATGTATGACCAATAAAAAAGATAATCTCCTACCTGTGATAAATGTAGTGCCTTAAAACCAAGGTGTAGATGGAGGGCATGTCTTTGATTTCAGCACTGTAAATATCAGGAATTCCACAGCCTGCAATCCACTCACACAGGTTTGGAGTCAATCTCTGGATGCTGGTGCAATTCTTGGCCTATAAAAAACAATCAATCACAAACCCAGAATAGGAACAGGGATTGAGTACACCAAAAGAAAGAAAAGGTTGGTGTGATTTGATTATGTCTTGTGTTGTACCTGCTGCAGTTTCATCTGTACATCCACATCAGAGATGTCCATCCAGCTGAAGTCTTCCAGGGGAGGGCTTTGGCCACACATGAGCTGGTAGAGGGACTGGTGTAGGCAGCATGGTCCAGGACCACCATGCAGCAGGGACCAGGCCACCATGACTCCTGCAGCATAGTACCTCCTCTCCTCCAGGGCAGCCTGGTCGTAGGCAAACAGCAGATGCCCCGGGCGACCCTCCAGGATACCGCTCTCCTGCAACTCTAACATGATGAGTCTAGAAAAGTGGAAACGATTGCATTAGGGCATGTCAAAGTGAAAAACGAAATAATTTCCTATTATTAAGGGGGCAACCATATATATTGTATAGTGTAAATGAAAAGGGAGAGCAGTAAGAACTCACCTGAAAAACTCTCTCAGAGGGCCGTCATAGTCATCAACTTCCTCTCCTAGGAAGTGGAAGAGAGGAGTTGTCTTGATGGAGAATGACTTCTTCCCCATCACCTTGAGCGCACTTCTGAAGATGTCTCTACGCCTCACATACATGTGTGTTTGGATGTCAGGCATTGAGTTTTGTTCTCTGTATGTTCGGAGGATGGTGACCAGGTCTGAAATGACCTAAAACATAAAAACTATCTCGTAAAGATACAGAATTCTACATGTTTTACCAAATGTTATACCAAGCATACCTCCTCATCCGCAGTGACAGGCAGGGGAGACTCTACACTTCTCTCCTCATCATCATCATCATCCTCATTGTCATCCACCAAGAAATCGTGACTAAATTAAAAACATTCGAGGGCATTAGAGCATTAGTTAAGTGAACAGTCAAGTGGTTTGTTATGAGTTCGCTTGAGATCATTTATACACAATAATGCCACGTTGAGTCATGAAAATAAATTGCATTGACATTGATAAAGATCCAGTTAGAATGTAATTTACATACCTGTTAATTACTGGTGCGCTGTTTGTTGGCCACTCACATTCTATCTATGGAATAACAAAAACAAAGAAAGACTTTATAAATGTTCCAATGATTGCACAGCAAATACATTTAATAAAATATCAATCACATTCATTATTTTAATTATTCTCCATTTACCTCAAAGCTCATGAAATCATAGTGACTGAGAATATAAAGGGGGCCATGCCCTGCTATCTGCAACACCTGTTCCCCACTCCAGGAGAACTGTGGTGGGGTGTCTGGAACAAACAGCACACGAGAGCCCTCCAGACACTGAAAAACACAGTTTACATATTAAATCAGAATGCAGGTAGGGACACAGAGACAAAAGTACTTAACGTACAGATGCACCATTGCGTAGTTGCGTTCCACAATCAATAGTGGTGCTATATCAGAGTTAGAATGCCAAGTGTTTGATCCTCCATTGTAATCACCTGAAGGTATGTGAAGGTGAATCTTTGTTCGCGTCCACTGAAGAAGCGGCTCTTGAACAGAGAGGCAAGGCGGCTCTCCATTTCATGAGGGAGCCAGGAGTTGTCTATGGTTATCCTAGCGATGAGGCCCATGGCAGCGAGCTCGTCCCTCTCCTGGCCTCTGGGGACACTGTGCCTGTCCTCCTGAGCCAGGTAGTGGCCTTGTGGCAGGCAGATCACGTCTTTAACCACCAAACCAGTCTTCCCTGGTGTGATTCTCCTCCATTTCAGTTTGCTTGGTCGGATTGGTTCTGGTGAGACTAGGACAACTGGTTCTGGTGTCTGAATAAAATGAATGAAATGTATCATACTCTAGATTTCTAAATTGAGTGTGTGATTCACAAATCAGCCGAGACATAAACATAGAAAATAATTGTAAATAAAATTGTACATTCCTTTGATTTATTTGCAGGCATGCAAATTAAAGGTAATAAATGACACAATGATCGGGGTCCTTACCCTGGACATGACAGAGGGGTCATCTGGTGTGATCTCCACCACATCACTTTCAGTCAAGCCTGAGGGTGGAAACACCTCCATTTCAATCTCAATGCTCTCAAAGGAGTTGTTTGTAATCCTTGGTATATATTCTTTCTCAATCTTTGCAGGTGTCACAGTCTCCCTCTGCTGTTTAGGTTGTTCTATATCCTCTTCCTCCAGCGGGAGCGGTACTAGGGGGTGTTCAGGTTGTTTACTCTATGGGAGAGAGAAACATGCACAGTAAGCATAATCTGGATGAAAATAGAAAAACACTGAAATGTAACTGAACCTAACCATGGTCAGACTCAGTAGTATGTTGACCTATAACACTGAATTATACAGAGGATCAGAGGTTGATTGTACCTGTTCAACGGCCTCAATGGCTGCGCTACCTACCATTGTCTCCTGTTGGTTTTGCGGAATTACTGCTATTGGCACAGCAAACGTGCCTATAACTGCAAACAGGTCCATCTCTATGTCCTCTGTCAAAATCATGACTGTAACAGATCCTCTCTCCTTCTGAGTTGCTTGTCCAAAGCATTCACCCACTTTATGCCTCTCCAGCTCTGAGTGATTGTTCCTGGGAAGGGTTATATTTGCATGAAAAGAGACAAAAGACAAGCATTGCACCACCCATCACCTTCTAAATTGAATCCATTCTCATTGATCTTGTGAGTGGAATTTCTTAAACCTTTCAAATGACCTTTGTGCTCTGGTCTGATTGATCAATATTTACGTTTCATCCTATTATAGAGCTTGTTCAGCTTCAGACATGTCTGAAAGCAAGGACATTGGTTAATTTTGACTCAACATGTCCAGTTCAAAATTAGCCTAAATCTATTAACATAATAACTTTCAATCTAAACAATCTAATTAAGAGCAACAGTAGGCCTACAAATGCCTACCTATCTTAAATTGTGTGTTATCTATTCTATTCAATTCAATTCTGTGAGAGGCCTCAATTCTGTGAGTCTGACTATTAATGAGAAAATAATTACTCAAATTGAGTAAGGATTTATGATGATCAGTCAAGCCAGTCCACACCCCAAGACAGCCAAAATGCCTTATTATAATGCACAATTCAGAAATACAATCCTTTGGAGACCACGAGGTTAGTGTTCCAAGAGATGTGTATGCCTTGCGAAAGACGCTAGGCATATCGTAATATTGACACAATCCTGTTCAATACAAATCGATAAAGGAACAGTATATCCGAGTGCACGTCTCCTCCTCTCTTCTCGCTACTGGCGCGCTTTGCGTTGGCTATATAAATAGAACCGAATCAAACAAATGACCCTTCATGAAATCCAAATATCTCGGTAGCCTATTCGTCTTTTGTTCCACGCTCTTCTGGCACACCCGTGCGTTTACCGGACCATGCTGACTTCCTGTTATGTTGTCATAAATTGTGCTCGGAAACTGTCTGTTATGTACCCATTCAATATGGAGCAGATCAATCAAACCCGCACAGCAGAAGAAACACTTAATTTAGGCCTACTCTTGCGTTGAAATCAAAATCAGTTTACATTCAATAAATTAATAGCTGGCCTAATTTCATGGCACGCTTTGGGCCTCCATTATTTCCTTGCATTGTGGGATTGGTTTAATTGAGAATTGTAGGCTTCATGGAGCATTATATTTTGGACATTTTTGAACAAATGGGCAATTAGACAAAAGGAGTACAATATAGTTCCATTTGAAACTTTAACAGAGACCATTTTCCTAACCTGTTTATTTGGAAAAGGAATAAAACACAATACATGAATATAAACCACAAATATATATATATATATATATATATATATATATATATATATATATTAAATAAATGCATTAAAAACATCAAATTATGAGCTTGAACTGTAGTTTTACAAGGGGAGGACAATGCAGTGTTTTAATACCAGATTAAATGGCTTTTCTCACTGTTCCTGCCTCAAACACGCCAATGTCCAGTGTTATGATATACTGATGATTTGTCGCCACAGACGGTTTGTTTACGTTTCTATCGTTGTTGCTAGATGGCGTTGGCCAACAGCTCCATCTACTGGTCGCGTCGTGGACAACAGTTGTTGACAACTATTACATTGTAGTTATGCCCAATTCCTTTTCCTAAATTTAACATTTCTCCTAACATTTACATTTACATTTTCGTCATTTAGCAGACGCTCTTATCCAGAGCGACTTAAACTAACCTGTTACGTTAGTTCTCTGCCCACTGTCATTTTACCAGACTCTTTTGAAACAAGTTTAAGTATGCTGAGCTATACTGCAAATACAGTTGGCTAAAAGCTATTGAACACTTTATCTTAAGAAAAAATCAACATTGAATCACATTAGGCCTTGTTTTGTCAACTAAAAAACATGTTGAGGTACAAGCGACAAAAACACTTTCATCATAAAGCTGAGCCCTACAGTAATTTCATGGATTTAAAAAAGTATTCATTTAAAGTTATAGTAGGTGAATGATTTCTGATAATGCCCTCAAACGTAAAAGGTCTCCTCATCTTCAGTTCATGCATGTTGACATTTTGTTTTAAATATACAGTGCCTTCGGAAAGTATTCAGACCCTTTGACCTTTTTCCACATTTTGTTACATTGTAACGTAGCTTTATTCTGAAATGGATTAAATTGTTGTTGTTTTTCCCCTCATCAATCTACACACAATATCCCATAATGACAAAGCAAACACAGGTTTTTAGAATTACTCAGTACTTTGTTGAAGCACCTTTGGCAGTGATAACAGCATTGAGTCTTCTTGGGTATGACGCTACAAGCTTGGCACACCTGTATTTGGGGAGTTTCTCCCATTCTTCTCTGCAGATCCTCTCAAGCTCTGTCAAGTTGGATGGGGAGCGTTGCTGCACAGCTATTTTCAGGTCTCTCCGGGTTCAAGTCCGCGCTCTGGCTGGGCCACTCAAGGACTTTGAAAGACATGTCCCGAAGCCACTCCTGCGTTGTCTTGGCTGTGTGCTTAGGGTTGTTTTCCTGTTGGAAGGTGAACCTTCGCCGCAGTCTGAGGTCCTGAGCACTCTGGAGCAGGTTTTCATCAAGGATGTCTCTGTACTTTGCTCCGTTCATCTTTGCCTCGATCCTGACTAGTTTCCCAGTCCCTGCCGCTGAATAAATCCCCACATCATGATGCTGCAACCACCATGCTTCACCGTAGTAATGGCGCCAGGTTTACTCCAGATGTGACGCTTGGCATTCAGGCCAAAGAGTTCAATCTTGGTTTCATCAGACCAGAGAATCTTGTTTCTCATGGTCTGAAAGTCTTTAGGTGCCTTTTGGCAAACTCCATGCGGGCTGTCGTGCCTTTTACTGAGGAGTGGCTTCCGTCTGGCCACTCTACCATAAAGGCCAGATTGGTGGAGTGCTGCACAGATGGTTGTCCTTCTGGAAGGTTCTCCCATCTCCACAGAGGAAGTCTGGAGCTCTGTCAGAGTGACCATCAGGTTCTTGTTCCCATCCCTGACCAAGGCCTTTCTTCCCCGATTGCTCAGTTTGGCCGGGCGGCCAGCTCTAGGAAGAGTCTTGGTGGTTCCAAACTTCTTCCATTTAAGAATGATGGAGGCCACTGTGTTCTTGGGGACCTTCAATGCCGCAGACATTTTTTGGTACCCTCCCCCAGAGCTCTGCCTCGACACAATCCTGTCTCAGAGCTCTACGGACAATTCCTTCGACCTCATGTCTTGGTTTTTGCTCTGACATGCACTTTCAACTGTGGTACCTTATATAGACAGGTGTGTGCCTTTCCAAATCATGTTCAATCAATTTAATTTACCACAGATGGACTCCAGTCAAGTTGTAGAAACATCTGAAGGATGATCAATGGAAACAGGATGCACCTGAGCTCAATTTCGAGTCTCATAGCAAAGGGTCTGAATACTTACAGTACCAAGTCAAAAGTTTGGACACACCTACTCATTCCAGGGTTTTTCTTTATTTTTACTATTTTTACATTGTGGAATAATAGTGAAGACATCAAAACTATGAAATAACACATATGGAATCATGTAGTAAACCAAAACAGTGTTAAACAAATCAAAATATATTTTATATTTGAGATTCTTCAAATAGCCACCCTTTGCATTGATGACAACTTTGCACACTCTTGGCATTCTCTCAACCAGCTTCATGAGGTAGTCACCTGGAATGACAATCAGTTGTGTTGTGACAAAGGAAGGGGGGGTACACAGAAGATAGCCCTATTTGGTAAAATACCAAGTCCATATTATGGCAAGAACAACTCAAATAAGCAAAGAGAAACGACAGTCCATCATTACTTTAAGACATGAAGGTCAGTCAATATGGAAAATGTCAAGAACTTTGAATGTTTCTTCGAGTGCAGTTGCAAAAACCATAAAGCACTATGATGAAACTGTCTCTCATGAGGACCGCCACAGGAATAAAAGACCCCGAGTTACCTCTGCTGCAGAGGATAAGTTCATTAGAGTTCCCAGCCTCAGAAATTGCAATGCAAATAAATGCTTCACAAAGTTCAAGTAACAGACACATCTCAACATCAACTGTTCAGAGGGGACTGTGTGAATCAGGCCTTCATGGTCGAATTGCTGCAAAGAAACCACTACTAAAGGACACCAATAATAAGAAGAGACTTGCTTGGGCCAAGAAACATGAGCAATGGACATTAGACCGTTAAAATGTTTCCTTTGGTCTGGAGTCCAAATTGGAGATTTTTGGTTCCAACCACTGTGTCTCTGTGAGACACGGTATGGGTGAACAGATGATCTCTGCATGTGTATTTCCCACCGTAAAGCATGTAGGAGGAAGTGTTATGGTGTGGGGGTGCTTTGCTGGTGACACTGTCCGTGATATATTTTGAATTCAAGGCACACTTAACCAGCATGGCTACCACAGCATTCTGCAGCGATATGCCATCCCATCTGGTTCTGGCTTAGTGGGACTATCATTTATTTTTCAACAGGACAATGACCCAACACACCTCCAGGCTGTGTAAGGGCTATTTTACCAAGAAGGAGAGTGATGGATTGCTGCATGTCAAGGGGTGCTGAAGGTGGGTGTGGTGCATGAATCAAGCGCAGGACGCAGAAGCTCAGTCCAGAAGACTTTAGTGCAATAATCACGTAGAAAATAAGCACAATAAGCCCGAAGGCGAAACCACGGCGCACACAGGCTTCAAACAAACGGCGCACTAACATGTGCGAAAACCCTCTCCAAAACACTGGAGGGAAGTACGTAGCTCCAACACGAAAACAGAAGAGCAATCACACACAAAGACAAACACAACCAACGAGAACTAAATAGGACACTAACGAGGACTAACAAGACACAGGTGTACAACATAAAGACAAAACCAAACGAACATGAAACATCGATCGGTGGCAGCTAGTACTCCGGGGACGACGACCGCCGAAGCCTGCCCGAACCAGGAGGAGGAGCAGCCTCGGCCGAAACCATGACAGTACCCCCCCCCCTTGACACGCGGCTCCAGCCGTGCGCCGACCCCGGCCTCGGGGACGACCAGGAGGACGGCGGAGCAGGGCGCGCGGGATGGTCCCGGTGGAACTCCGACAGGAGAGATGGGTCTAGGATGTCCC